GCGCAGGAGGTCAGTGAGACATGGGGGCACCAGAACATTTAAAGTCTTGTAGGTGAGCAGCTAAAATCAGCTCGAACCTGACAAGGCAACCAGTGAAGAGATGACATCACTGGAGTAATGTGCTCATATTTCCTACACAGTAAAAAAATGGTGTTAAATTTGCAGTGTTAAACTTTCAGAGTTAATTTCAGCTCCCCGAGTGGTTTTTAAACTGTTTCTGAGTAAACTGACTTCCAGTGTTGGTGTTAATCCACAGAGTTGATTTCCTCAGTGTTGTCTCAACACTGGACAGTGTTAAATAAGCTCCGCCCACTGTTAAGTCTCGATTAACACCTAACCGTGTCGCTATATAACACGATGGCTGTGTCTAAAACGACAGGCCGGGTCCTCCGGAGGACCCAGACTCCCCGGTCTCGGCAGGCCGGGTCCTTGGTAGACCGGGACGACCGGAAAAAAAGAGGCTGTGGATTTGGACGGTCTAGCCTCCCCTCCTTACCCCGGCGTACGTCTTGTCACCTAGCAACTGTGACGACGCTAAACAAGCAAACTTAAATCAAAACTAGAAAAATATCAATACATTAACATTATTAATATCACAAAACTATAAAAGTAACTTAAAAGTATCATTTGAAGAACTAATTGACCCGCTGTAGGTTCATGTTTATTTCGCGTTTTTATGACGAAAAAATAATATTTAAAAACATGTCCATACAAATGATAAAAGTATTAGAATTACAGCCGCTAATTTTTTTAATTTTTATATCACCATATTTTTATTTAAAATGTATTCTTTTCTCTCGCTTCGTCCGCCATTACTAGCATAAAAACAATCTCCGTCGGGCCGCAAAGCATTATGGGATATGCTGGGCCGGGAAGGATCCATCAGACCTGTCCTTCGATTCGGGCCAAAGGAAGGACATATTTGTCGGCCGCATCGGAGGAGTCTTCAGTTTTGGACGTCCTTCGTTGCGGCGCTGTGACGTATGCGGCCGACAAATTCGACCTTCGGAGGACCCGTCCTGTCGTATTGGACACAGCCAATGTAGTGTTGAAAGTATTCTTGAAAAGCTCCGCCCTTTTCCTCATGGACCAGAATTTTCTCAGCAAGGAATGCTGGGTAATGTAGTAGAAATGATGTGTCTACATGTCTAAAACTATTAAAAATGATCGTGAGTGTAAAAAAATCATTTTCTGGTTAGTTTTTCTTGTTCAGATTGTTTAGTTTTTCAAGTTCAAGTTTTGTGTTATTTGCCATAAGTCGACACCATGAGTGAGAGCTACTTCCTGGTGTGTGAAGGGTCACATTGTTGTGCTGTTTTGCCAACTGATGACCAGTGTTAACACAACACTTAAAGAGTTGATTTTAACTTTAGGATAGAGTGCAGAACTGTGTGTACTCTGACTCACACTGTGTAAAAAGGAAAACAAAAATAATTGTAGTATAACACCATAAAGTGTACTTTTTAAAGAAAGTTTAGTGTAAAATTAACTCCATAAAAATAACAATATTACTCTATAGAGTGTTAATGAGCTGTGGTATTAAATAATTTTATTCGATTCATTGTTGATTTTGACACTAAAATGAGTAAAATTAACTCTGAAAAGTTTACACTGACTATAGAGGACATTTTACCAAAAACCAAATACATGAAACAGAGTTAAATTCAACTCTGTAGGTGTTAAAATTACACTTTGTTTTTTAATGTGTAGTATTGGTTAAAATGTGGGCAGACACATTTTGGACCATCTGCAGACTCTAAAACTTTTCCTAGATAACCCAGAAAGAAGAGAGTTACAGTAATTGATGCGTGAAGTCACAAACGCTGATGCGTGAAGTCACAAACGCTTGGACAGGAAGCTCAGCATCATCAAATGTAAAAATCTGCCTGATTTTGACAATGTTCCTAACCTTATATCACCATTTGTATCATATTTGCTACGCAGTATTCTGTGACCTACAGTATATTTTATCAATGTGGTCAATATTTTCCTCAAATAATCGTTTATCATTTGAGAGCTGTATTCTGCCCTGTGGTGGATTTTCAGTGCACTGCAGTACGTTGATACAGGTCTTGTGAGAAAATCTGTTCCTGTGTCGGGAGCGCGCATTGCAGCCAGAGAGGTGGATCCGGCGGGTCTGACCATGTTCATGACGCTTCTGATCGATTCCTCGATAAAAACTACTCATATAATCATGTCAATGTTGTAACTTTCAGTTTAATCGGCAGCTATCAAAATAAAAAGTCACACATAAATAAACGAGGTCTTGTGTGGAGGTCTTTTTACGCTGTTTTGTGTTATTTTAAACGCGAAGAGAATCAATCTTTTTTTCAGCTTTTGTCTCGTAAGCCTGACAAATAAAAGTCAACAAACAGGTTTCCAACATGTAGTGTGCATTTATCATTTATCATTTCTGATGAAGGAGGAGGGAAGATGGCCGACAGCAGGGCACAAAAATAAAGACTTCCTAAAAATCAGAGTGTAAACTTTTTGGTTAATCCCGTTCTAATGTAAAATATGACAGATTACTGGATTAAGGAAATGTGTAGTATGCTACCACACTTAATTTTTGAGAATTTGGAAACAATTGTTTTTTATTTCCCAAAGATATGTGTGGAGAAGAGGAGAGAATGGATATTTCAGCTGCCTGATATAATCTGTTCCCCATCTGTGAAATGGAAACAAATTAATTTACCTGCAAGTCTTTTTCTGTGTTCATTCCCCTCATCTTCAACAATTTTCAGAAGATCCTTCCTGCCCACAGCCATCAGCATCTACAATACGTTTTTATTTAAATGAGTTACAACAACACCTAATTTCCCTCTGGGATCAATAAAGTATTTTTGAATTGAATTGAATTAATTCACAGCTACCTTGGAATTAATAGATTAAAATTTTAATCCTTTGACAGCCCTAGTTTTTATCTTTTAGTTCATTAAACTAACCTTTAGCTAGTCACATTAGCCATTAGCATATCAGATTGCTGGTTAGCTTGTCAAACTAACGTTTACTTCATTATAGGGCTGAGTGTTGGCAAGAATTTGGTGATACGATACACATCATGACAGAGGGGTCACGATACGATATATCACGATATATTGTGAGACTGTAAGCAAGGCGATATATTTATGGGGTGCCGTTTGTAAAGTTACACAGTCAAAAATTACCACCAATATTTTTGTTTTATTTAGAATTTATAAGAAAAAAATAACTATTTTATTTTTCAAAGTCAGTTTTTCACCATATGATTCATACATTTATAAATG